CCACGCGGTTCGTCAGCTGTGCTCAAATTCAGCTGGGGCTGGGTGATGTCAGCTGGAGACGCCACCCGGTGGAGATAAAAAGTTGCCCCAAGGGCGCAGGAGGGCAGCAGGTGAGCAGAAGCTCAAGGGGAAAGCCCACACCCCAAGGGGCGCAGCTGCTGCGTCGGGCAGCCCGGGACGGTGGGGGCAGAGCCTGGGGAGGCACCAACAGTGAAGCCAGCAGCAGAGCCGACAGAGAAGCCGGCGGAGGTGCCGGTAGCAGAGCCGACAGTGAAGCTGGCAGAGGAGCTGGGAGCAGAGCCGGCGGAAGCACCAGCAGTGAAGCCGGCGGTGGAGCTGGTAGAGAAGCCATCAGAGGAGCCGGCAGAGGCACCAGCAGCAGCACCAGCAGCGGAGCTGGCAGCAGTACCGGCAGAGGAGCCAGCGGAGGTATCAGCAGCTGCACCAGCAGAGGAGCCGGCAGTTGCGCTGGCAGAGGAGCCAGTGGAAGCATCGGCAGCAGCACCGGCAGCGGAGCTGGTAGCAGCACCGGCAGCGAGGCCAACGGAAGCAGAGGCAGCGAAGCCGGTTACAGAACCGGTGAAGGCATCAACTGGCGAGCCAGCAGAGAAGCCCCGGAGAGGAGGTAACAAGGGCGGGGCCAACGGAACCCCCAATGGGGATCGCCGCGGGGTGCAGCAGAAGACCCCAAGCAGGGACGGATTAAGCAGCAGATGGGCCCCGCTACACCCCAAGGATAATTGGCCGGGACGCCATACCCGAGTGGGGCAAGCAACTGGGGCTGGGGTACCTAGGCACAGGGGAACCACGGGGCCCATAGGTTAAGGGCACTCTTTATTACTTTGTGGCCTCCTGGCTCACTGGCTGCATCGCTTTGGCTGTCACAGTGGTGGGGATCGCACGCTACGTCACAGGGTGGTTGGATAGGGCACTAGGGATATGGGTTAGTCGGATCCAGGTCCAAGGGCCTCGAAGTCTTCACATCAAGCCGCGACCTGGGGACACTGAGACTCGTGGCTGGAGGGCCATGGGAAGAAGCCAAGTGGAGCCAGGGATGCCAAAGGGCGAGAAGACCTGCAACCCAAGCTGGCAAGTGGCTGGGGTGTAGGGGAGGTCAGAGACCCGTGAGTGCCCACCGAGAGGCGTGATGACCCCGGGGGCTGCCTCAAAGGGGAACCCCTCCACTGAGGTACCATTCGAAGTTGTGGCAGGAGAGTTAAGGGGATCCCCGGACGTGAGCCGGGGTAGCCTTTGGGGTCCACTTGCAAGCCCAGGAGAGGCTAGATAGATAGTCCGGGCTAAGGACACACGAGAATGCCTGGTAGAGCAGAGGCGGGCACACTGGAAAATGGCTGATGTGGTCCCTATTTTCAAGAAGGGAAGGAAGGAGGATCCGGGTAACTATAGACTGGTTAGTCTCACCTCTATACTCGGGAACACCTGTGAAAAAATTATTAGGGGGTACATTTCTGGGAGTCCAGCAGGGAAAGCAATGCTAAAGGGCAACCAGCATGGATTCACAGCAGGTAGATCCTGCCTGACTAACCTTGTTTCTTTTTATGATCAGGTCACAAAATGTCTAGATGCAGGAATCAAGGTGGATGTAATCTACCTGGATTTTAAGAAAGCCTTCAACACGGCTTCATTCTGTTCTCCTAAATAAACTGACAGACTATGATGTAGATGATTACATGGTCAGGTGGGTGGTAAACTGGCTTAGGGGTTGCACCTAGAGAATGGTGGTGGATGGGTTGGAAAGAAGTGGGCAGTGGAGTCCCACAAGGCTCAGTTTTTGGACCGGTGCTGTTCAATGTCTTCATCAGTGACTTGGAGGAGGGCATGGAAAGCATTCTGTCCAAATTTGCAGATGATACCAAATTATGGGGTAAAGTTAACACACCAGAGGGTAGGGAACAAATCCAGGTGGCTCTGGACAGGCTGGAAAAGTAGGTGGAACAGAACAGGATGCAATTCAACAAGAACAAGTGCAAGGTGCTGCACCTAGAGAGAAGGAATCACCAGCATGCTTACAGGTTGGGGGAGGACCTTCTTAGCAGCACAGGAGTAGAAAGGGATCTTGGAGTCACTGTTGACTCCAAGATGAACATGAGAAGGCTTGGAGGTGATCTTGTGGCCATTTACAAATTTATCAGAGGGTACAGCAAGGAATAGGAGATGCTGTGTTTAGCAGGGCACCCTTTGGAGTCACTAGGAACAATGGCCACAAACTGATGGAGAGCAGATTTAGATTAGACATCAGGAAGAACTTCTTTAGGGTAAGGGTTGCCAAAATCTGGAATAGGCTTCCAAGGAAGTTGGTGTTCTCCTCTACCTTGGGGGTCTTTAAGAGGAGGCTAGACATGCACCTGGCTGGGGGCATCTGACCCCCGCACTCTTTTCTGCC